TGTTGTGGCATGTTTGTCAAATACTGGAGCATGCAAAGGTTATGGATTCAACTTTTGTCGCAACCTATTTAAAGAAATTGTACACTTTTTAGGCTTTGAGCAAAAATACGACCCCCTCTAAACATGAAGGGCTGTGTTTAGGACTATATATCTTGTCCTATCTAATAGCTTAAGCTTCTATATTGAGTGGTTTGACACAGGGTAGGTTTCCTACTACTACTACTATTCAAGTTGTGAAGAGGATATGTTTACAGTCGGCAGAAGCTGAGTAGGTATGATATTTCGATGCCCTTTGATTTGGTTACTTGATTCTCACTAACAGATGGCAATCAAAATTCCTTACGATAAGAGGAATCAATTGTGAAGTAATCTTATTTGGAAGCAAAAAGTTCTATCATTTGATTAGATTGTTCAAGCATGTGCAATTCATTTACTTTTTTTTTTTTGGTTCCAAATTAGGTTATTTCTAGATATCTATATAATAGTGTGTGCACTTGTTTTTACAAGATTATATTCTAACAAATTGGTCAAGATCTTGTGTAGTTATTCGAAATAGAGAATAAATTAGGATAGTGTCCTCTAGTTTACTAGGACCTAAAATCAATTGAAATTGTGTCTTATCAACTATAACTTATTTTACTTATGGCGGTTCAATTGGACAAATTTACGTGACATCGTGTCATAAGCTAGGTAACTTTTCTTAAGTTGTGTTGTGTCTATGTATGTTGACATACTTGGACAACTCAAACCAGAAGGACACTTAAATCTTTTTTCTTGAATATATAATTTTAGATAGGTTAAGGGTACAATTATGGTTGATTCAATGATATTTTAGTATCAAATGTGTCTTTTAAATGGAAAAATGGGGATAAATCTTTTAACTAGGAAATTTTAGGTATGATGAGGAAAAAATTGTAGTAGTGTAGAGAAAAGCATAGTTGTTCTAATGGTTAGCCCTTTGGTTTAAAAACCACTACTGAATCCTGCCGTAAGGCTTGCCTCATAGTGATGCGAGCAAAAAAACCTAAGATGTTGGTTATGAGACAGTTTTTTGGAGCTCACACCTCAGTTATGTGAGGCACTTGCCTTACAATGCCTCAAAGCTTGTAAGGCGTGCACTTCATAATTCTCTGAACATATTTACTTTACTTTAGTTGTGGGTCGACAAAACATAAAAGTTCTGGTTGACCCATTTTGGGAATAGCTCACTGCCCACCAAACATTAATGCGTTTCTCATATACCCACATTGGGAATAGTATACTAACCTACCAACTAAAGAAATAGTTTCTTTTTCGTTAGTTATGAACTTTCTTTTTTTGTTTGCATACTTTATATTGTTTACTTAATAATTCTCAGAACATATTTACTTTGCTTTAGTTGTGGGTCGACAAAACATAAAAGTTCTTGTTGACCCATTTTGGGAATAGCTCACTGCCCACCAAACATTAATGCGTTTTCTCATATACCCACATTGGTAATAGTATACTAACCTACCAACTAAAGTAATAGTTTCTTTTTCGTTAGTTATGAACTTTCTTTTTTTGTTTGCATACTTTATATTGTTCACTTCATAATTCTCTGAACATATTTACTTTGCTTTAGTTGTGGGTCGACAAAACATAAAAGTTTCTGGCTGACCCATTTTGGGAATAGCTCACTGCCCACCAAACATTAATGTGTTTCTCATATACCCACATTGGGAATAGTAAACTAACCAACCAACTAAAGTAATAGTTTCTTTTTCGTTAGTTATGAACTTTCTTTTTTTGTTTGCATACTTTATATTGTTCTATTATAAATTTGAAGATAGTTTCTGATTTGTTAAGAGCTTATGAGGGTTATGACTTACATCTCACCTTATGGAAGGAAAAGTGCCTCAATAAATCGACGAGTAAGCATCACAAATGGCATTTAACCATCTGGGGCATTTAATGAAAGCCTCAGGTGAGGCAGGATTTGAGTTTGTAAGCCTAAAAGGTTTTGTCAGAATTGCATCAACTATTGTTTTCTCTCTTTTGGTAATCCATATATGAAACCCCTAACCTAGATTATTTTTCCCACCATTGTTTTTCAAGTTGCCTAAAGGTTTTGGTTTATCTATTTTAAAATACATGTTTGTATACAATATTTCCTTAGCTGTTCCTATCTTCATTTTGGAAGTTGTGCCATCATTCCTAGGTAATCCATATATCAAACTAGAAAAAGTGCCACTAGGCATGTTGAAATACTAATATTTTGCAGTCTATCTTTAGAGACACCTTTCAAAAAAAAAAAAAAAAAAAGTCTTATCTTTAAAGATATTAATGGCCAGATACCCATGGGCCATCAAATTATGGGTGTGGATAATTATTGATTCCTAAATTTTTCCCCAATAAGTAGTTCGTTCTAGAAAAAAAACTGTTGTTAGAGAATTGTGTAGCGATCGATAAATTTCAAATTTTAAGGCGATAATTTTTCGCAAATTCTTCTAGGAAAGATAATATTCGCGTCGTTTCAAGTTTTCCCCAATTTATGCTCTTTAAGATGGTCATGTATTAAGTATGCTCACATGGTGTGGCCTATGTTAATTACGTGGATTACCTTTGAAAATTTATTTTGCGACAAATTGTAGTAAAAGTTTTAAGTCATGTTTTGTTGTCAAATAGTATTAGAGTTATTAGCCATATAAGTCGTGATTCAATTAAGATTTTTAATTTCTATTGAATACTTGATATCGCAAGATTATTTTTTTAATTATTTTGATTGTGAGAATTAGTATGCCAATATTGGGCTCTAATCGAATTCAAATTATTTTGTATATAAAGGCCTTAAGAAAAAGTTCATTTGGATATCTTATTTTTGATATGCATTAATCATATTTCCTAGAGATATCATATGTGATAGAGTCCTAATTACCATAAATCTAGGGAGGTTAGTGATTGATTAAATTCCAATTGAATTGAAATTATAATTCAAATCAAGAGGGAATTTCGGTCATTTAGGACTCCATTTGAACCAAACAAATGCTCAGGCTCGACTATAAGTGAATAAAAAGGGGGAAATATATTTGAGAAGAGAATAGGAAAGGAAAAGAAAATAAAAGCGTTGCATTGAATTTCTAGTGTTGGTGCTTTTGAAGTCCACACACACGGTGCTTAAACACTAAGACTTATTTCAAAAGAGGTAGATTCAGACCCTCGTTTTATTTCAATTCATGTTATGGTTGAGCATGTACAATTATGATTAATAGCTTTTCTTTATGTTATGTGCAACTCCTTTTGGGGTTAAATTTTGAAATGGTGGTGTACCATATATGTGAAATTGGTGGCGTAGTAGTGCACCAAATGTTGGTATGTCATCTTATCATCGATATGCTCATTCTTTAAAAAGTTATGCATGAGTATATGTTTACATTATGATATGATATTGATATAGTTCACATATGAGTCTATTGAGAGTTTCTATGAAAGACTCAACCCCCTTGCCTAACAATTTCAGATTAATGCGGTCGAAGGCGGCGTGGAGGAGAGCAGTTTTGCATTGATGTAAAACCTAAAATTATTGTTGAAGTCATGTAATGTTTGAACAAATATTTCAATTTCTGGATATTTCAATTTAGCAATTTTGAACGTGTCAAGACATTTGTTCGATGGAAAGTTATTCATCAAGGATAGGATATTTTCTTTTGGTTCATCTAGTTGTTATGAGTTTCGAAGCTAAAGTGTTCATAAATCATAGGGGTTATCTCTCTCTCAAATTCGAAATCATGGATTTTGAGCATCTAATACTAAAGTTATTAATATCATGATTTAGAAGATCTAAAACTCAAGTTAGTAATGTTTTCTCGAGGGCTGCCTTAACATACTGAAAACAGATACAGTCCGAATTTAAAAATCATTTTGGCCCACCTATCGATTGAATTTTTATATGAAATTTTAACATGTAATTTTCCATAATATGTTAACAGTTCAAATTTTGTAAATTTTGGACTTCGTTCGGTAACCAAAAGGATTTTTTCAGAAAGACTTCCAAAGGTAAAAATTCCAGTTTTATTTTACAGCTGGTTCCTGAAGTCTTAAAGCTTTTGGTCCAAGTTTATTTTCGCACTTTTATGAACAAATTATGTATGATTATGCTAGTTCAAGTTTGAGTAGTGTTGATAGGGCTTAGGGCGCTACAAATTGGATTTGTAAGATATTTTCTTAATAGCATTGGTTGCTGATAGGATCCCCAGTCTCTGTACTTCAACTAATGGAATTCCCCAGATGCTGCTATGGATTATACTGATGCCTAGATGCTACTTGCTGCTGATCTAGGAGAAATGTTAGGCAATAGATGTGGTAATAGGATTTTGATATACTGAATTTGCTGACAATTGAGGCTTGTTACTGTAATGATTTGTAAATAGATTTATTGCAATGCATAGAAACTGGAAATAGAAATTGAATGAACAATTCCAAGCATTTGAGAGGCTGGATCTCTCCTGATGGACACAGCCAACTACTCAATATTTGCCTAAGCGTTCTGCTCCCTCTCCTATTACATTTATACTATTACTTTCCCCCTTATTCCCCAAACTACCTTTGATAACTAACTGGATTTGGGGGGGTCTATTAGTTGCCCAAGTATTAATTGAAAGCTGTCATTACATTTTCTCATCAATGATTGGAATGAAAAAGTGGGCTTGCATATATTTTTTGATTTGATTTTGTGATAAATTCATTTTCTTCTTTCATGCTTAATGTTTTTGTCGTTTTTGTATTCTTTTTATGCCTATTAAAGGTTTTTGGTCCTCTTTTAGGATTATTTTCCTGGACGGTTTGGACCCGTGTCAACAATGTTTTCTCTTTGTTTATGATAAGGAACATTATGACTACTTATTAGAAATGTGGGAATGTGATTTGCTTACTTGAGAAGGTCCTTGCTGTATTAAAGAGTATAGCGTGGATTTTTTTATTTTTATTTTTATTATTTTTTTTTATGTGAGCAAAACATGAACACAGCCTTAGTGGGTTTTCAGGCTCCACCAAGAAAGGCTAATGGAGTTTGGATTCCTTGGCAGTATATAAATTCAAACTCACGAGAACTAAAGGAAGGAGGCATAGACCAGGTCCTACTAAAAGCAAAACAATGCACCATATGAAAGAATGAAATAAATGGGAAGTATTACTTCCTATACAAAGAAAGCAAGTGAGAAGCAAACTAACTCACTCTAATACTGGGAAGTCCATACCCGTCACTTTGTACAATAGACCGAAGTTGTCATGGGAGGTCAAGAGGTTTATACTCTTGATAATGGCGCTGGTCCCAACCTGATGCAAGTGAATTGGATTTTTTTTCCTTTTTTTTCCTTTTTTTTTTTTTTTTTTTTTTTTTGCCGGGGGGGGGGGGGGGGGGGGGGGGGGGGGGGTGTTGGAGTTCTTAAGCTAGAATCGTGAGTCTACCGTCGTCATCGTTAATGGATTTTTAATTAGGACTAAAGGATTGGACTAAAATTTTAATGTGCGCCCATAGGATCATGATCTTGTTGGTGAAGTGCAATTTGAGGGAGTTAATTTAAGGGAAATTTTCGTAAATTAACCTGTAATTTTTTTTAAAAAAAATTAGGCGGCAGTTTGTAACTTTGACTAGGTGGTATATGACATGTTTAGTCTGTTTCCATTATTTACTTATTAAAATGAAAAATATGACTGTTATACCTTGGTTTTCATTTATGTTTTTCCTATTGGTTTCTGACTCCCATAACCTTTTTCGATATGTACTATCGAATTTGACAGTGCTCAAAATCTTTATGCCATCATTTGTACACTGCTGTTCTGTTGTTTAGATGGCTCTCTGATTTTTAGAATTAAGTTTTACAGAGTATTTCTGAGCATCAAGCTGGTGTTCATGTATTAGTCCACGCTCTACGAGCAGATTTTGTAGTTGATTGGATTATAACATTAGTTTCATGCACATATTTTGGAGTTTTGCCTGTCGAACTTGTATCTGTCATGGAAATTGGAGTTCTTGATATAACATGACATGTTATTTTTGGCATTTTATATGTTTCCCTAGTCACAGGATGACTTGGACAATTTTAGAGATGTTGGTTCCTTTGATGAGAACGTGGAATCATTTTTGTCGCATGATGGAGGAGATGGAAATATATGTGGCACTTTGAAACAAACTCTTTCTGAGCATAAAACAGAATTGTCCAAAGGTGGCCCTTAATCACATATTTTCTATGCCTGTGAGGATTTTTGTTCCCTCGTGCAATTCTGATCATGCCATAAGTATCAATTCACAAGCGAAAATTAATTTCAGGTTTTTCTTTTGCGGAGTTTGGTTGCATACGAACGAGAAACAAAGTGACTAGCTGTCATTTCTCTTCGGATGGGAAATTGTTGGCTAGTGCTGGACATGATAAAAAGGTATAAGCCTTGTAGGGATAGCAGAAGATTTGTAGATTGTGACTAGCAAATTTCTATTGAATATGTTACTGAGGAAGTTTGACTTATCTGTACAAATTCTTTAACCGTGTTATGCTGCTATTATGTTACTAGTATAGTTTATTTTCTCAATTACCGAAATCTAAATGTGTACTTGTAAACCTTCTTTTTGCTCTTGCCAGAAAGGATCTGAAGTCTAATAGTAAGTTTTAGGAAATTTGTGAGAAATAGTTTACACACAATACATAATCTATAAGTAGGCCAGGATAATCTGCGGCCTGTAAATGACATAATGAAGCGTAAGCAGAATTTTATGCCTCTAGAGTATATATAGGCAACCTTTTATGTTTCATTTCAATTTTTTTCATATATTACTAGGAATCCTGTTGTATTGTTGGCTCTTGATTCTAAGTCCTGCCATGTCCCGCTAATTATCTGTTCTATTGCATCAGGCCGTCTTTTGGAACATGGATACCCTGCAAACAGAGACCACTCCAGAAGAACATCAATATATAATTACGGACGTTCGCTTCCGGCCAAATTCAACTCAACTCGCAACAGCCTCATATGATAAGTCTGTCAGAATGTGGGATGCAGCTAACGTAATGATCTTGAGCTCTTCTCTTCTCTTCGATTTTATTTTTATTATTATCATTTTTTTCCAGTTGGTTGTTCAATATGTACCAATATCATTGCAGGGCCTTGCTTCTGCTCTTCCAGTCAGTTTAGAATATATGCCCAGTTAAAACTTCTTTATGTTTGTCTGACGAGATAAACCTGTATCTGTATCTATGTTTGAAAAGTATTATTCCACGTCCATGGGTACTTGTTCAATTCGAATTTACTGATGCAGCCAGGCTATTGTTTGAACGCATATACTGGGCATGCTCACCATGTTATGTCCCTCGATTTTCATCCCAAGAAGAATGATCTTTTTTGCTTCTGTGATAGCAACAATGAAATTCGCTATTGGAATACCAATACATTTTCATGCACTCGGATTTCTAAGGTTAGGCTTCACAAACGATCTTGGATTCTTCTGTCTTTGTTTTTAATAGGTTGAATTCATTAGTTGTATTTCTGAAGGACTTTTTTTTTTCCTTGTGTAGCAAGGAGGCACTGCACAAGTGAGATTTCAACCAATGACGGGACAGTTACTGGCAGCAGCAACACAGAAAGTAGTCTCTATCTTTGATGTTGAAACTGACAGGCATATTCACTCGTTCCAGGTTTGAGTGCATGCAGAGTAGCTTTATATATCAAAATGATAGATTAATTATGCAACGAGAGTAAATGTTATTGTTTTTTCTATTTGGTGAATATGTTTAATTACATGCTTGCCTTCCAAAATTTTGTGTTATTAGGAACATTCTGGAGTAGTGAACTACCTTTGCTGGGATCTCAGTGGCGAATTGTTGGCCTCCGTCAGTGAGGACTGTGTTAAAGTTTGGTCCATATCTTCTGGAGAATGCATTCATGAACTCAACTCCAATGAGAACCAATTCCATTCTTGCGTTTTTCATCCAAATTATTCTGCTCTTTTGGTGATTGGTAGTTTGCGGGTAATTCCTTCTCTCCTTTATCGGTTCTAATGGAACTATAGTCTAATCTGCCTTCACCTGTATTCACCTGATAATGGGTCGGTTTGCTTTTTTTGTGATTGTGATAAATGACCTACTTCTGATTGCGCCTGTGTTGTGTATAAAGTTACATTGGAGAAAACATATTTTGGTCATAAGATTTAAAACCTAATCATGTTCTAACATTTTTAATAAATCCCATGTTCGAACAAGTGTACCTGAATAAAAAGGGATGCATGGTTGAGGAATGATTTTGGATCCAAAATTCAGATATGGGCAAGGGAAAGCAGATTACAGTGTTCAAATCTTTAGGTGAAAAATATTGAACTAAGCCAAAGTGACCGAATTGGTTAACATAACGGCTGACCGACCCTCACATTTTCCGCGTGGGTCCCGCCTGAATTAAAAAATGCTGACTCTCCATGTGTGTGTGTGGTTATCCCCTATGTCAACCCCTATGTTAGCGAAGCAAAACCCATAAATATTATGGTTTAATATGATTTGCATCCTGTTATTCTATCTGTTTTACTGGATCATAACCTAGATTTTCTTCTGTAATATGTTCTACTAGTCATTAATAATATCCCTAAGAGTTGCCATTTTTTTTTTTATTTATTAAATTTTTTTTTTCATTTGTTTGGTGTAGTCTCTGGAGCTATGGGACATGGTTGAGAACAAAAGCATGACAGTTCGGGCACATGAGCACATCATTTCTGCTTTGGCACAATCACCAATGACGGGAATGGTTGCCTCAGCAAGCCATGACAGTTCTGTTAAGTTGTGGAAATAAGTGAAGATTAATAAATTTTGACAGAGATGGTTTTCTCGTTTATTTCATAAGAAATGTTGTTATATAAATGGTTCGTGTCAGCTTTTGGAGATTTCTGGATTGAAAACGGTGAGTTTAAGAAGCTTGCGGTCCAGGTTGATTGGCGTAAGTTGCAATTGAAATTTCCTTGTAATAAAGATAGGTTTTGGATTTGCTTGTGAAATCCACGAAGTCCAGTGTCCTGCGTCCTTCCATAACATGACATATGTTCTGTTTTTCCCTCATAAAGTGAATTTAAGAGCATGTTTTGTATGCTGTTTGGACAGTATTGTTTAATTCTTTAATTCAGTGTGTTTAGCATTCTAAGCATGCCAAAAGATTACATGGGATTATGGAAATCATACTAAAAAATCATAGTAGAAATTCAACCACTAACTGATTCTCAAGTCAATCCTCTGGATAAATAGCATTACTCTAATCAAATTAACTCCGTGTGAAAAAACTAGATGTAAATTATGGGTTGCTGTGGTGTCTCATATTTTTATAAAACTAGAAAATAATACCATTTCATTTTTTTCATAAAATAAAATGAGATGAGCCCTGTTTTGGGAGAAAAATGTATTTTTGAATAGTGATTTTAGGAGAGTATGTGGTTAAAAGAATAAGAATTAAATTTTGATTTAAGTGGAAAATTATTTTATCGAAGGATGTAATTGAAAATGAATTTTGTGATAATGAGTTTTTGATAAGAAGGTAATAATTTTTATAAACATAATCACGTGTACTAAAATTAATTTGGCAACATGTGAATTCTATCTATGCGTATGCATTAATTCAACTTCGTCTAGCTCACGTCTTATTTTTTTCATGTTACCAATCAAAATTTGGAAGTTGCTTCATCCACTACAATTAATCAATTTCTACCTTTTGATTTTACATCTTTATTATGTGGCAATCAATTTCATGAAGTAGCAATCATTAGATGCTTATGAATTCATTTTTAATCTATGGTTTTATGCGGCGCTACTGCATGTCTTCAATTATTGAATTTGAATTCGTGGCAATTTAGGTCAATTTGAGGCGAAAAAATAAATAAATTTGTACACCTTATTTTAATTCATGTATACGTGTAGCATTAGATGTATCAATTTATGTAATTCTTTCTTTAATTTTTTTACGGATGTAAAATATATGTTTATGGTGAAAAATAACTATAAAACATATCTTTTCAAGATTTTTTTTTAATACATGTTTGGTAATTAATTTTAAAATATAAATTCATATCCAATCTATTTGGTAACTTTTTTTTATTTGCATGGTAATTAATATTCTTTAACTTGATTATATATTTGTGTTGTTCTATCATAAATTTTAAATTAATATTCTATCTTATTGTTGCTTTTGAAGTAGCACAATATTATAATTAATATTCTAGAAGAATATTAATCGAAAATCTATCTATTATAAATAGTTCGTTGTTGCTCTTGAAGTAGCACAATATTATAATTAATATTCTTGAAGAATATAACTTGCTCCTGAAGAACATAAATTATATTTTTCAATATTCCAAAAGATTATTGACGTATTGATCTTGAAGAAATAATAATAAAATACAACATGCTCCCGAAGTATCATATGTTTTGAAGAAAATATTATTTTAATGTTTATCTCTGAAGGAAAACACGTAACTTATATTATTCATTACTTGATTAATCATTATATGATGTTTAATTACATTCTTCAAAACTAATTGTATTTTCTTTATTGTGCAGGTAATCAAATGGCAAACATTATGAAACTCGAATTTGCTACATTTGATATAACTGATAAAAATTATCTATCATGGGTACTCAATGCTGATATCCATCTTGCCTCAAAAGATTTGGGAGAGACAATAAAAGAAGGAAACAAAGAATCTTTACAGGATCGTGTAAAAGCACTCATCTTCCTTCGTCATCATCTTCACGATGGGTTAAAAATTGAATATTTCACTAAAAAGGATCCACGGGTTCTTTGGAAAAAATTAACTGAGAGATTTGATCATCAGAGGACTATAGTCCTTCCCAAAGCCCGTTATGAGTGGATGCACCTCCGTTTGCAAAACTTCAAAACTGTTAGTGTGTACAATTCTGAATTGTTCAGAATATGTTCAAAATTAGCATTGTGTGGAGAAAAAATCACTGATGAAGACATGTTGGAGAAAACTTTTTCCACCTTTCACGCCTCGAATGTGCTCCTGCAGCAGCAATATCGTGAGCGTGATTTCAAAAAGTACTCAGAATTTATATCTTGCCTGCTTGTTGCTGAACAGAATAATGAACTACTAATTAAAAATCATGGGTTACGTCCAATTGATTCTGTACCATTGCTTGAAGCAAATGCAATATCAAAACTTGGACATGGACACAGAGTAAACCATGTACGAAATAATAAACAAAGTTATCAACAACAAGGCAACAATTTCAAAAGATACAAAGTAAACGAAAGTTGCACACCTAAAAGAGTACACGAAGAAAGTTGTTTTAGATGTGGAATGAAAGGGCATTGGACAGGTGCCTTTCATACGGCAAAATACCTTGTGGATCTCTATAAAAAATCAATCAAGAGAAAGGAAAAAGTGGAGACAAATTTTGCTGACTATGATGGTCTAATTGATGTGATTCATTTGGATGTCTTCGATTTCTTTGCTAATCTAAATGAGAATATTGACAATTTCATTGGGGGTGTTGTGATGGAAGATATATATTACGTTTTTTTTTTTTTATTATGTTTCTAGTATTTCGCTTTATTTTAGAAATTTAGTTTGAAATATGTTTTTATTTTTGCCAAAAATTTTGAACTTTTTTATGCATCGTTAATTTCACAATATTCATTATGTTATCATTTTAAATTTAAATTCAAGTTTTTTTTTTAAATATATCTATTTTGTTATATTGATAGTTTTATGATGGATTGTCAAGATACTTGTTTGATTAATAGTGCAACCACATATACTATTCTTCAAGACAAAAAATATTTCTTGGACTTAACATTGAAAGAAAATAATGTCAATACAATCAGGTGCATCGAATATCGTTGAAGGCTCTAGCAAAGCTTGTATTATTTTACCAAATAATACAAAATTATATATTGACGATA